GCCCCTCTGGCTTCACATTCGGCAACTACACCATGTTCTGGGTGCGCCAGAGCCCCAGGAAGGGGCTGGAATGGGTCACTGGGATCTACAAGGATGGTTCCGACACCGCCTACGCACCGTCGGTGAAGGGCCGGTTCAGCATGGCCAGGGACAACGGGCAGAGCTCGGTGACGCTGCAGATGAACAACCTCAGGGACGAGGATTCCGCCACCTATTTCTGTGCCAAACATTTCAGTGCTGGTGCTTTTGGTTGGGGTGCTGCTGATGCCATTGACCCCCTTTGTGGGGTTCCCAAACCTCTCCAGACCCTCCCCCCAAAGCTCCGCCCCTTCACACCGAGCTCTGGCTCTCTGATCCCAATCTTGGGTTGGTTTGGCCCCAAATTCCCCACCTTTGGCCCCAAACCCCAACTCTTTGTCCCAAATGTCCACCCTTGACCCCAAATCTCAACCATTCACCCAAATCTCAACCATAAACCCCAAACCTCAACCCTTGACCCCAAACTCCTCAAAAGGTAAAGGTTGGGGCCAACAGTTGAGATTTTAGGTCAATGGTTGAGATTTGGGGTCAATGTTTGATGTTTGGCATCATCGGTTCAGATTTGGGTGCGAGGGGTGGAGGTTTCGGGACCCAACAAAGGGGTCGATGCCATCAGCATAACCCCACCAACCAGCACCACCAGCTTTGGCACAGAAATAGGTGGCGGAATCCTCGTCCCTGAGGTTGTTCATCTGCAGCGTCACCGAGCTCTGCCCGTTGTCCCTGGCCATGCTGAACCGGCCCTTCACCGACGGCGCGTACTCGGTGTAACCAGCATTATAGTTGATCCCAGCAACATATTCCAGCCCCTTCCCGGGGCTCTGGCACACCCAGTGCATGGTGTAGTCGCTGAAGGTGAAGCCGGAGGGGCGGCAGAGGAGCCACAGGGGCTGAACGGGGCAGAGATTGGGGGTCAATGGTTGAGATTTGGGGTCAATGGTTGGGATTTGGGGTCAATGGTTGAGGTTTGGGGTCAATGGTTGAGATTTGGGGTCAGTGGTTGACATTTGGGTTCAATGGTTGAGATTTGGGGTCAATGGTTGAGATTTGGGTCAATGGTTGAGATTTGGGGCCAATGGTTGACATTTGGGGTCAATGGTTGAGATTTGGGGTC